CACATATATGTAGTTCTTATATTTTAAACATGTAGGATACCTACATGTTTATATTCATCCTGATGCTTGCTTCTTAGTTAATAAATTTGGGAAATATATTGAGGTTTAAATGTACAAATCTACCTCAGATCTTTAAATTCTGGATAATACAGTTGGCCCTTACTGTCTGTGAGCTCTATATCCATGCATTTAACCAACCATGGAGCAAAAATACATTAAACAAATGGTATTGTAAAATGTATAGCATTTTTTCCCCTACTTAACAACTGATTGCCCTAATTCCTAAACAACTTTACATGCCATTAACAGCTTTTGCATAGCATTTATGTTGTGTTGGGTCTTATAAGACATCTAAAGGTGATTTAAAATACACTGGAAAGAGGTTAGAGGGATAGCTTAATGATTATGTGCACTTTCTGCTCTTTGCAGAGGATGCAGGTCCAGTTTCCAGTGTCCACATAATGGCTCACATAACATCCCTAGCTTCAGTTCCAGAGGATCCGACACTTTGTTATGACCTCCACAGGCACTAAGTTTGCATATGCATGCATGCCAAAAAAAAAAAAAAAAAACTTGGACCCAAAACGTCTTTTAAAATACACAGGAAAATGTGAATGGGTTATATATAAATACACCATCTTTTTTTTTTTTTTTCTTTTGCAGGAAACTAGAGCATTCGTATATTTTAGTGTTCCTGGGGGTGGTCCAGGAATCAGTCCACCTTGCATCCTAAGAAGCAACTCTATTCCAGAATAGGCTGATAATGATCACCTTCATACTGGTTCTTTATTTTTCTCCACAATGTCAGACACTGTCTGTAATGCATTCCTGTCTGTTTTTCTGTTTGTAGGGTAGATACTTCAAGAGCCATAAGGCTATATGTTTTAATTTTATTACATTTTAATTATTGTGTGTGTGAGAGGTGGCACACATGTAACACAATGTATGGATGAAAGTTAGCGAATAACTTGTATCATATGGGTCCTGGAGATAGAACTTAGATCATCAGGCTTGGCAGCAGTTGCCTTTACTTGCTGAGCTGTCTCATCAGCCCAGTTATATATTTTAAATGTTTTCTTCTATTTGTTTCTTATGTGTAACAGCAATTTCCCCAAATTGTTTTACAAAGTGGCTATACCAGTTTATACTCTGAGCAGCTATGTATTGTTTTCTTCCTTGGTTTTGCTTATTCTGTAGATATTGAAAGGAAGACGTAACTGAAACTCAGTTTCTACAATTTTATCCTCAAACACAGATCACTTCTGACACCAGATATCAGAAATAGGGTTTTTCCCACAGACCAAGCAAGTAGTCAGACTATTCTGTAGACCATTTGGCTGTCTACTAATACTATTCACCTGCAGGTGGCACAGATCTCAGACTGTGGCTTCAGGTCCCAGTACTGTTGTCCCATGTCTTATAAGTGCCAGATTATCTTACCCTTTTCCCTGCCCAACTAGTGATAAGTCATTGTTTTCACGACCCACTATTAAGGTTTACTTGCTTTGCCTGAGTAATTCACAAAACTCAGAGAAACAGATTTATTATTTAGTTAAGGATATTACAAAGACAATAGCTTGAGAGATGCCTAGGCCAAAGAACATGGAACTTCCATGGCTTTCCCTGAGCAGGCCATGCTCCTAGATCCTCCATATGTTCGGTTATATAGAAGCTTTATAAAACACATGCCGTTGGGGTTGTTTTTGTGATTTTCGTGTGTATGGTTTGTTCTGTTTTTTGTTTGTTTTTGGTTTGTTGTTTTTGTTTTTTTCTAGAGGGTCTCTCTCTCTCCGTAGCCCTGGCTGTCCTGGGACTTACTTTGTAACCAGACTGGCCTCTGCCTCCCAAGTGCTGGGATTAAAGCCATGTGTCATCGCACCTGCCACTGCTTTGGAGTTTTTAATGGAGACCTCATTTCATAGGCATGATGAAAGTTGGGACAGTCACATTGAAATAAGATTGGGCAGAAAAGGTCAGATCTTCTCAGGGACTGGAAAAGGAGACCTAGGAAGGTCTTTCTAGATTCTTAAGATTAAGGAAGATTAACTGCCTTGGGGAGGAGGCCTGGTTTCTGTAGCCTGTCTGTAGCCAGGAAACATGGGTAAAAGCCAAAATGAGTATTTGTTAGAATATGACATAAATACACAACTTGCTTGGACTTTTGTTTTCTTTTTGGTCCGATGGAGGAAAATAAGTTTTTATTTTTCTGGTTGCTGGCAAGATTAGTAATCAGTTCTAGCTGTTTCTTCTGCTTTCTTAGCCTACCTAACCCCATATTTAGATAGTTGGTATTGCCAACTGACCAAAGGAGTCTGATATCTGAGCCTTTGAGCAGTTTCCTTCAAAAGCTTATCCATACCTGTGGAGACCTTAAGTCTTCCAAATTTAGTCAGTCAGCAGCAAGCTTTATACTTCTGTATTGTTTGTATTCAAGATATTGCTTTTCCTGACTGTGACTTTTACAGTAGAATTTATACATACATGCTCTTTAGCAGACCTGAGAGATAAAACGTACACAGTGGAGTCCGACAGACAGGACATTCTGCAGAGCTTACTGGGTTACAAGGCTAAGGGGTAAATTGAGTTTGCTGATGAAAGGTCAGCTATTAAATTAGACTTAGTCATGAAGAATAGGAATAAAAGTTTTCCATTTTGATTCTTATAAAGTAAACAGAAATTTTCAGCTTAATGTCACAAAACATCTACCTCATTTGGTCTCATGTTCAGATCAGAAACTGTGTAAAGCCATGCAAGTGTTAACTGCAGCCAACTCTCATCATTACTTGTCTCTTAAACAGCCTCAGGAAATTCAGAAACTCCTGTGTGGAGTCTTAACATTACCCCATCTGTCTTCATCTTTGTGTCTCCACCTATGTTTGTAGAATAAAATACAGCAGACCGGGATGCTAAAAATCAAGTCGCCCTGAGTGTGAATCTCTGTTCCACTGATTATTTGAATATGAGAATAAGCATACTACTCAGTTGCACTGCCTCAGCCCCTCATCAGTAAAGCAAGAAGAATAAAAATTACTGCTTTTCAGGGACTGGTGGGTGTTTAAGATTTCCCAGTATACTATAAGCATTACCAAGCCCAATCTATAGCCTTGATCTCAGGTTTTGATTGATTACATTACTGTCATAGGTGACACCTCCTTGGTCTATCTTCCTTTGTAGGAATCGTGTGCATGTGTGTGTGTGTGTAATATGTGGGATGTGGGTGTCTGTTCACATGAATAGACGCCAGAGCATAATATCCAGTGTATCTTTTGTTACTCTCTGCCTTATTCTCTTAACATGGGTCTCCCACTGAACCCTAATTGGCTGCTTTGGGGTACACTGGCTTATTTGCCAATTAGCTCTTAGGATCTGCATATCTCAGCCTCTGTGAACACAGAACATACCCAACTCTTGATCCTTCAGTTTCCCCTTCCTAAATGCTAGGGTGGCAGGTGTGTGCGGGAGAATTTTATAATTACTCAATTCTTCATCATTTCTATCTTTGTTGTTTCTTTCTGCCTTTGCACATGATTACTGATTGTTCTCTGTATGATTGAAGTTTATTTAACCTTCTCTTACTCTTACAAATATTTTATGTCTGCCTTAAAGAATGCATATTCTATAGTTTGAGTTATGGTCTCTATTTACACACTATAGGTAACATTTCTTAGCTATTTCACGTCTTTATGTTTTTACTGTAGAGAGATCTCTGTTAACATTTCAGAGCATGAGTGTGACTTCATCTTCCACTGTTATTTTCACCTTGATTTTTTTTTTATGTTTTCTCTTAATGGAAAAATAATTTGTTTGTGATGATATTTTAATAAGTATGCGCTATGAAATGATCAAATCAGGGTTAGTTAAGCTGCTCATCATATAAAATATTTTTCTTCACAGTTAGAACATTTAAAATCTGTTCTTAGTTTTTGGAATTCTATAATACATTTTTACAGTGATCATTACTTGGGCTGTGTAATTTGTGACTAAAATTAATTCGTCCTGTCTAACTGAAGCTTTGTACAGTTACCCAACTCCCAATCTCTAGTACCCACTATTTTTTTCTTTGTTTCTGTGAGTTTAAACATTTTGGTTCCACTAGAAGTTAGATCATACATAAGTCCTTCTGCTTCCCGTTCATTTTTCTTGGCACATTTGATACTTACTGTGTGTGATTTTTCTTTTCTCCCTTAATATTAGAAGTAAATTACATTGAGTGTGTGCAGCAAGGAAATTGTTTCAAATATTAGGTTTACTTAATGGTCTTGAATATCAGATTGAAGAGAATTTATATGGAGGAGTAGTGAATGATCTTATCTCTTACTTAAAACAATAACTGCTTTGAAGCATTGTGAATTATTTGTCTTCCATAACACTGCTTATGAGACCTGTTTTATTTCATGGTATAAGATAACAATGTACAGTCTGCATTTTTGTTAAGAATAGTCATATTAAAGATCAAGTGATAAAGTTGTTTCGTTTTTCTTTTTAATTACATTTTATTTATATGTGTGTACACTTGGACATTCCATGACAAGCATGTCAAGATGAGAGAACAACGTGTGGAAGTTGGTTTTCTCTACTCTGGGTCCAGAGTAGACAGGTTATGCTTATAGACAGGCACCTACACCCATTGGGCCATCTTGTCATGTCTTTTCTATTCTGCTTGTATCTGTACTTAACAGAGACATTCATTGAATAAATTTGATTACTAATAAATTTTTTTAGAGCCAACTACTGCATAATACAATGTTAAGAACAAAGGTTATGACAATTTCTAAATCTTGTATGCAGTTATTTTGTTACCCTTAAGCCTTAATGCCTACAGGTGTTCTTCTGTAATCTCAAACATTACTATTAATGCTGCTCAGGGATTGTGTGTGTGTGTGTTCTATTCCTGACTTTTAAAGCTATTTTGTTTTTGCTTTTAAAATTATATTATGTCAAGAACGCTCTAATAGGTAAACTTTGGCATTCAGAATAACTCAAGTTCTTTATTCCTTCAGCTTCCAGCTGATCTTACCAAGATGCACCTTACAGACAACCCTCATCCACAGGTGACGCATGTGTCTTCTAGTCAGTCTGGCTGTAGCATTGCCAGTGACTCTGGGAGCAGCAGTTTATCCGATATCTATCAGGTAATATTTTATGCTGAGTACAGTGCATACAGACTTTTATTCTGCAAAATAGTCTCTCTCTGCTTATCTTCTAGATCATTGGTTCTCAACATGTGGGCCACAACCCCCCTGGGGGTCAAACAACTCTTTCACAGGAGTCGCCTAAGATGATCAGACAGCACAGATTTACATTACGATTCATAACAGTAGCAAAATTGCAGTTATGAAGTAATAGTCAAAAAAATTCAACGTTTGGGAGCTCAGCACAACATAAGGAACTGTATTAAAGGGTGACGGCATTAGGAGGTTGAGAACCACTGCTCTAGATGGTCATGTGTCTTTTAATTGAACTGTGAAATTCAAGGGTAAGGTTTTCAGCATAGTATGTTTTATATACCATCTCATTCGTTGGCCTCATTAAAGTCTGTCTTTTGCGAGGATTCAGTATAATTTAACAGTATATGACTATGGTATTTTCTTTTTATTTCTTTTATCCACTTGAATCCATATCATACAGAATGTTTGCCTTAGTTGAGGGAAACGTTTGTAGGGTTTTGTTTATTTTTTGTAAAACAGAGTATGAGCCTGTAACCCAGGCTGACCTGAACATTTCAGTCTTCTCACCTCAGCCTCCCAAGGGTTGGAATTAGAGGCTTCATGCATGGGTTTAAAGAAGGTTTTTGAAATAACAGCTTATAATTGTGAAAGGACTGATTACTACAGTGTAGGAGTTGTCTATAAGTAAAATTCATGAAGAAAAGAGGGTTGCTTCTGTCCTGTGTGATCTGAATGAAACAAAGTTAAATAGAGGGTGTACTTATTGGACTTCATTCTTTTAAATTTAATTTTATTTATATATTTATTTATTAAAATTTATTCACTTTGTATCCCAGCTGCACCCACCTCCCTCGTCTCCTCCTAATGCCACCCTCCCTCCCTCTTCTTCTCTTATGCCTTTTCCTTAGTCCCCTGATAGGGGAGGACCTCCTCTCCTTCTGTCTGACTCTAGCTTATCAGGTTTCATCAAGGCTGGCTATAACATCTTCCTCTGTGGCCTGACAAGGCTGCAGTGCTCCCACACACACACAGGAGGAGGTGATTAAAGAGCTGGTGACTGAGTTCATGTCAGAGACAGCCCTTGTACCCGTTACAAGGGAACCCACTTGGAGATGAGTCTATGGGATACGTCTGAGCAGGAGTTTTAGGTCCTCTTCATGCATGGTCCTTGGTTGGGGTATTAGTCTCTGCAGGGACCCCTGGGCCTAGGTATTTTGGCTCTGTTGTTCTCCTTGTGGAGTTCCTGTCCCCTCCAGGTCTTTCTTTCTCCCTCTTCTTCCATAAGGATTCCTGCACTCTGCCCAAAGTTTGGCTATGAGTCTCAGCATCTGCTTCGATACTTTGATGAATAGAGTCTTTCAGAGGTCCTCTGTGGAAGGCTCCTGACTTTTTCCTAGTCTTCTCCTACTTCTGAAGTCTATCCTGTTTGCCATTCTGAATGAGGATTAAGCATCTTCCCTAGGGTCCTCCTTCTTGTTTAGCTTCTTTAGGAGTATAGATTTTAGCATGTTTATCCTGTAATGTATATCTAATATCTATTTATAAGTCTTTCTTCTTCTGGGTTTCCTCACTCAGGATGATCTTTTCTAGTTCCCACCATTTGCCTGTAAATTTCCATGTTTATAATAGCTGAGTAGTATTCCAGTGTATAAATGAACCACACTTTCTATTCCTCTACTGAGGGACATCTAGGATCTTTACAGATTCTGGCTATTACAAATCTGCTATAAACATAGTTGAGGAAATGTCCTTATTGAATGGTAGGACATCTTTTGGATATATACCTAGGAGTGGTATAGCTGGATCTTGAGGTAACACTATTCCTAATTTTCTGAGAAAGCACCACATTGATTTCCAATGTTGTTGTACAAGGTTACATTCCCACCAGCAAAGGAGGAGGGTTCCCCTTTCTCCACATTCTCTCCAGCATGCATCATCCCTTGAGTTTTTTATCTTAGCCATTCTGATGGATGTAGGTGAAATCTCAGGGTCCTTTTAATTCTCATTTTCTGAATAACTAGAGATGTTGAATATTTCTTTATGTTTTTCTCTGCCATTTGATATTCCTCTGTTGAGAATTCTCTGTTTAGCTCTGTACCCCATTTTTAAATTGGATTTTTTGGTTTGTTGGTGTTTAACTTCTTCAGTTCTTTATATATTCCGGATATTAGCCCTCTGTCAGATGTAGGTTTGGTGAAGATCTTTTCTCAGTCCGTAGGCTGTCATTTTGTTCTGATGACAGTGTCCTTTGTTTTACAGAAGCTTTTCAGTGCATGAGGTCACATTTCATGTTTAAGGTTTTGAAGATATCAGGGATACAAGGCACATACCTAAACATAGTAAAAGCAGTGTACAGCAAGCCTATAGCCAACATCAAACTAAATGGAGAGAAACTTAAATCAATCCCACTGAAATCAGGGACAAGGCAAGGATGCCCACTCTCTCTGTATCTCTTCCACATAGTTCTTGAAGTCCTAGCTAGAGCAATAAGACAACTAAAGGAGACCAAAGGGATACAAATCAGAAAAGAAGTCAAAGTATCACGATTCACATATGCTATGACACTATTCATGAGTGACCCAAAAATTCTACCAGAGAGCTCCTTCAGCTGATAAACACCTTCAGCAAAGTGGCTGAATACAAAATTAACTCCAAAAAAAAAAAAAAAAAAAAAAAAACTGAAGCCCTCCTGTATACAAAAGACAAATAGGCTGAGAAAGAAATTAGGAAAACAGCACCCTTCACAATACCACAAATAACATAAAATACCTTGGTGTGACTCTTAGATCCCATTGCTCTTGAATTGCAGGTTGTTCCAAGCCACTACATGCTAGGAACCAAATTCAGGTCCTCTGGAAGAACAATACATGCTCTTAACCACAGAGCCATCTCTCTAAGCATGTGTAGTTTTCTTAACTCCCTCTTATGTAGCGCAAGGCACAGCGCCATTCACCCCTCATGTGTTGGGGGGGGGGTGGAATAGACTTGTAAAAATCCCTTTATTTCAACTCTAGTGGCCATCTTACCAGACTTTGATACCATGTCTCCACTAGAGCTTTTTTTTTTTTTTTTTCTTTCCCAATTAGCTTTGTTCTTCTAAATGTTCTCAGCTACCTGTCTTTAACATTTCTGATAAGAGTGTCATCTGTTGGGTAGGGATGTCACTCAGTGATAGATGTTACTGTAAAAATGTAGATTTACAGAAAGGAGCTGGTACAAAATTACTTTTCAGAAATGGCTTTATCAGGAGAGAGGGCCTCGTTACCATGGGGCATGAAGGAGGCAGGCCTTAAAGTAAAAGAACATTGGACAAGAAAAAAAAAAATCAAAGCATGGGAAGCATGGTAGAGCCTGCAGGAATGATGAGGGGCTTCTCTTGAGATCCTGAGAGAAGCTGTAATTGGAGCTATAACTACTAGCTGTGCCACATGACTGGGTTCCTGTGAGGAAGGATGTGAAAGAACCTTTGCTTCTAAAAAGAAAAGGGGCTTTTCTTGATTCTTTTAGATTCCTTTTCAGCAAGGTAGATAAGCTTTATACTATTGGCCTGGCGGCAGACACTAGGTCAGACATAAACTTGGCTTGTAGCTGGAAGGAGCAGAGGATGTGCACAACCACAGCATAGCATGCTTTCTTACAAGGTTTGATCAGAGACTGAGCTGCTGTGAGCTATGACCTCTGAGAGCTACAGGATTTGAGATCTAACAGAGTGCTTGCCCAGTATGTACAAGATTTGGAGTTTAATCCTTAGTATTAAGAAAAATACTAATTAAAAAAAAAATCTTGTACCTACCCACCCACATACAATGCCATTTGATTTAAACTCCTACTTGAAACAAATTGCAAGAATGTGATGGCTTTAAAAGTCCTCTATTAATGAAATTTCAGTGCTTCATTCTCATCAGATTTTCATTGTTCACTCCAAATTCCAAGCCTTTCACTTCCCACCACCATCTGCCATCTGCTTCCTCCACTACATTCTACAGTCTTCAAGACAAAACACATGCTAGCCCCTCAACATGCTTGCTTTTTCTTAGCTGTGTTGTTGTTGTTGTTTACTGTGCTTTTTAAGGGTAACTTGTAAGCTTGGTGTTTTGCATCATCAGAATAAATTTATGTGAATGGGGTTTTTTTTTTTAAGTTTTTTTTTTTTTTTTTTTTTCTTGCTGAGTCAAGCACAGTTTGGACATTTAGAAATAATCTAGAAAAAAGTTCAAGTTGAATCATGTTTGAAAGTAAATGCCAGTATAGGTTGCAAGGAAAATGCAAAACATGTCTGCTAACTAAACTGTCGCTCTGTAAGGTAGAGGAGAGATTATAGACAGGGCTATCTTGGTTGGCAGAATTGTGGAAAGTTTTATTATATAGAATTCCTGACTGACCAAGAAGACAAAGAGGAGCTTAAAAGCTAAATGGTTCCTGAAAAGGGATTATAATGCTGAAAGGAAAAGCACTGAAAATATGAGGTGCTGCCTTAACACTTAAACCTTGTTAAAAAAAAAAAGTGTTTTTTTATAAGTTTGTATGACATTTTCATTACAATATATGGCACCTCTTAATGTAGCTTCATGTTTATTTTGTTGCAAACAGGAAAAGGATATTCTCTGATGGTTTTATTTGGTGAAAGTCAGCTTATCACTAAATCAACTCGTACTCACCACAGTATAGTTACAGAGACTACATGTGACAGGAAAAGGAAACCAGATGAAGCTTAATGCTTGTCCTGCTAGATTCCTGTGCTTAGTCCATTTATCATCTTTTTGAGAATCTGTTGTCTAGGACCTAATTTAGTAACTATCCTACAAAAATGATTCCACATTCTTCTATCATCTCTTAATACTATCATTCTAATCCCCATGATTATTTTCTTTTTTGTTGACTATTGCCCATCCATTTCATTTGAGTCTTCATATTTACTCTTTTAGATACCCACCAATGGTACCCTGGGCGGTCTAGAACTCAGGGATTCAGTCTCTTGTATATTGGAATTGCAGGCATGAACCACCACACCCAATTAAATTTAGTCATGTATTCATTTTACAGTTTATGTAATTCCTAATGAGAGTCCTTATTTTTGCTTTACAAGTGCATGGTAGTCAAAGAAATAGGATTTCTTCTCTATGATACTGTCATAGTCCATTCAGGCTGGCATTTTTAAAATGTCATGCACTGGGTAGCTCACAAGCAGTAGAAATTCAGTTCTTGTGGTTTTAGATACTGGAAATTTCAGATTAAGGTATTGACAAATTTCATATCCTGTGAAAGACTTCTTTCTGATCTATTGATGGCACCATCTAGCTATTTTTTTCATGTGAAGAAAAGGTTGAATAAACTCCCTCCTGCCTCTTATATTAGGATACTACCCATTCATAAAGATTCCAATAACTTTATGAGTTTTTGGATGCCCATAAGCCCCACCTCCTAATACCATCATCTTGAAGTTAAGATTTCTTTCTCTCTCCTCCCCCCACCACCAATGGTTAAGTACACATTTTTGCAAGGACCTCTGTTTCAGTTTTAAGAACCTACTTGGCAGCTCACAACCATCTGCAACTTCTTTATATATATAAAATTTATTTAGTTTGTATCCCCTTCCTCATCTCTTCTTGGCCCCAACACTCCCTCCCTCTTCTTCTTTCATCTCCCCCATCCCCCTCCCGTAGTCCACTGAGAGGGAAAGTCCTCCTCCCCAGCCATCTGACCCTGGCCTATCAGATCTCATCAGGACTGACTGAATCCCCTTCCTCTGTGGCCTAGTAAGGCCACCCTGCCATGGGGAGATGATCAAAGAGCAGGCAACTAAATTCATGTCAGAGACTGCTCCTACTCCTTTTAGTTGGGGATCCACATAGAGACTGAGCTGCCTATGGGCTACAGCTGCATGGTCCTTGGTTGTGCATCAGTCTCTGCAGGGCCCATATTTTTTTTTTACTTTGTTGGTCGCCTTGTGGAGGTCCTGTCCCCTCCAGGTCTTTCAATCCCCCCCTTATTCCGTAAGACTCCCTGTACTCTGCCCAAAATTTGGCTGTGAGTCTCTGCATCTGCTTCAATCTCCTGGGTAGAGTTTTTTCTCTATGTTAAGAATTTAGAGTGTTAGAGAGATGGCTCCATGCTTAAGAACAGTTGTGGGTTTGTTTCCTAGCTCCTGTATAGCAGCAGCTCACAACCATCTATAATCCCATTGCTGGGGAGTCAGTTGCCCAATTCTGGCCTCTGAGCACCAGGTACACATGCAGTTCACTTAGAGCACATGCTGCCAAACCTTCATGCACATATAATTTTAATAAATAAATAAATAAATAAAGATTTTTTTTTTTTTTTTTTTTTAAGGGCCTAGGTGTATGGCTTGGCTAAAGGAACCCTGGGTGGCTCTGTATTTGATGCTTAGTAATGTTGAAAAGGGATAGAGACTTACCTGACATGTTGGGTTCAATCCTAGCACTTCATAAACTGAGGATAGTAGCATGTATCTATTATCCTAAGTAGCACCAAGAAGATCAGAAGTTTAAGGACATTCTTGACTATAAGTCTGAATTCAAGGCCCATCTGAGACACATGAAACCCTGTCTCAAAAAGGAAGAGAGCATAAGAGGGTCTAGGCCATAGCAGCAGATTGTTATAAGCCAGCCTTTTTAGGCTTAAAGGGACTCAAATTCTGTATTTAATCGGATTATTAAATACCTAAAGGTATGTAGGAATCTAAAGGTGGTATAAATTGTGCATGGAGTTGTTATCCACGGAATTAACAAAGGTCAAAAGAATAATATGCTGGCCACAGAGAAGGTGGAAACAGTTCTGACAGCTGGGAGGCTATATTTGGAGACCAGGATTCCTTTCCTATCTCTGCTCATTTGTTGCCCTATGGTTTTGGTGGTTTTTTGTTGTTGTTGTTGTTGTTGTTCTCTGTCTTTCCCTGTCATACTGTTGCTGGTACTCTTTGTTTCTCTGTTAAGCATGCTGTTTCTATTGTTGCATTCTTTTTTCTTGCTCTTATTCAGAGTTCTCCTGTCCATTTCCCTGCCTCTTCTCTTCTTATTCATTTTTAGTTTTGTTTCTATTTTTTAATTCTTTGAAACATTTATTGATGTTCACAATTCAATTCAGCTGCTCCCAACCCATTTTTCCATCTCTTCCTGGCTTTTTCTCCAGTATGTCTTCTTTCGTCTTAAGGGGGAAAACAAAAAACCTCACACCTGTGTACATATGCACATCTGTGTAACCCACTGAGCCTCGTTAGTGCTGCCGCATAAGCAAGGTTGTGAGATTATCTCCCGTGGCACAAGGAGCCTGCCAGTTCTACATCTCATAGAAAGGTAGCTTTTCCACTACTTCTTATGGCTCCTCAGCTATGATGGGACCTCAGGAGCAACTCCCCACTTTATGCTGGATTTTTTTTCCTTTATACTGACTTTTAATTTTATTCCAAAATACTTTCTAAATAAGAATGCCATGTTATGCTGGCTATTTTAACTGCCATGATCTTTCATAACATCTGATGCAGGGAACCGATCGCTTTGAGTGCAGTATGTTCTATACAAAGGAAGTGTTTCAGAACACCTCTCCCCATCCTCAGGCTAGTGCATCTCTTCTATGATGTCCCTGAGTCTTTGAGCTCAGGGAAAGGGCATTAATATAGACAATAAATGACCATAAAAGAGCAAAAAGAATGTAAGATCTTAAATGAAGTTGTCATAATCTCCACTAGCAGTCGTCTTTGAGTGCTTATAGTTATTATCAGGAATTCCTGTGCTCGGTTGTTTTCAAATAATATTCATGATTTTTTATTTACAGTATGGATTTTTTATTTACAGTTTTTGCTCCTAGTACTAACATTGATAAGTTTCCAAAGTTGTGGTTGTTAGGCTGATTTTAGAAATTGCTTTGAATAATCCTTACTCCTTATAATTTTTTTAGGCCCAGTAATATATTAGAAAGTGGTGGTATTTCTTTGGTTTTTATGCTAGTCCAATTTAGTGCTTTTTAGTATGGTTATACCCTTTTCAGAATCCTGTTCTGAGTCTCATGTTTGCCTGACTTTGTATTTTTATGATGAAATAATATCATTTTTCACAATAAGCAGCATGGATTAATAGGTATTCACTGGTTCATCTTTCCTGTACCTCCTGATTTAGAAAGCTTTGTTTTGGAAAAACAAGTGTTTATTGGAAAAATTATTAATACTCAATATTGTTTGTATCTTACATAAAGAAATAAAAAACAGTGATAAGCCTGTCCACCTAGGTAGAGAGATGTTTAATAAATAAGTATCTTTCCATTCTTGGACTTTTCCTTATGTTTGTCATTTAAGGCCCTGCTGCTCAGTTTACAGTATGATGTAGAATATTCTTAGATGAAATTATTTATTGAAATTACTTTCTGTAGGCTACAGAGAGCGAAGTAGGAGATGTAGACCTAACACGTCTTCCAGAAGGACCTGTTGATTCTGAGGATGAAGAAGAAGAGGAAGAAGAGATAGATCGAACAGATCCACTGCAGGGTCGAGATCTTGTTCGAGAATGTCTTGAAAAGGAACCTGCAGACAAAACTGATGATGATGTTGGTAAGAAATATATCTGTGTTCAAGGCCAGCCAAGCTTCCACAAAAAACAAACCAAACAAAAAAAAAAAAAAGATAATTCTTTTCACATAAGCATTTAAAAAAAAAAATCACTAAACAGTAGTTTATTCATTCCATTATAGAGTTTGGTAAACTTCAGATTACAAAACCAAAGTTAATATAATTTTGAATATCTTCAAGAAACCAGTGACATCTTAACTGAGGTGGACATGAACATAGGGTTGATGTCTACTGAGGAAGGTCAAATTCCTCTAATATGTGAAAATATGATGAGATATACTTTCTTAGCCATTGAGGAAGGAATTTTCTTTCTTGAGGAAATGATACTAGTTCTTTTTTGTAGGTCTTTTCCATTCTTCTTTCCTTGGTTTCCCCTTTCCTCAGAGCTTCTTTAGACATCTTTGCTCATCCATAAAATCCTGATGTTCATCCCTGTAAAGGCCAAGGAAATGAAGCGTACCCATGAGTGCAAAATGTGTTGTGATTTGGATACCAGTCATAGGTCTCTTTCCTTTTGGCCAAGAGCTGCTCACTGAACAGGTTTACCACTTTCATGGACTTTTAATCAATAGGCTACTTCACCAAAGATCCAGGCACTCAGACAAGACATGCGCAGTGTATATTCTGAAAGCAAAGACATTTCTTAGGCAATAAAGAACAAGATTCCCTGCTCCCAACCTTGCTTGCGAGCATCTGAAGACTTCACATAAGCATTTTTAACATTCTATGTAAAATAGTCTATTGCCACATAACCAGTTAAAACAATACACATTTTTTTTATTTCATAGTCTTTGTTGATTGGGAATTCAGGAAGAATTAGCTAGATAATTCTAGCTTAGAATCCTCAAGTGATAGAATGAACATGCAGGCTTCAGTCATTTACTTCTTTACTGGAGTGTGTGAAAATCTCTCACGTTCAAGATGACTGCTCATGACTACTCTGGCACAGGACGAAAGTTCCATACCAGCTAGTCTTCTTTGTAGCCTGTTCACTCACCCTATCAACATGGCAATAGGTCTCCTCTAGCATGGGTCCAGGGTTAGTAAGGTAGATAGAAGCCTTAGTGTCTTTTATGAATCTCATCACTTCTGCCATAACCATTACACTGTGCAAACCTGAGGCAGTATGTGTAAAACATTGGCATCAAGAGGTCAGGTCATTGTGAGCCATTTTGAGACTTGCTGTGTTTATAAAATAAAAATACTGATTTCGTGTCAGTAATTTTTCTCTTCTTGTTCATAAGACATTTAAAGCTGACTAATACCTCAAGTCTGTGAAGTAATTTTTAAATGAGTTTCAACTGTATTTGTCTTACCCTCATTTGTGTGTTAAAACTATAGATAAAGCTTTTTGCATATTCCTTAATTTTTTTACAGAACTAGTTAATATACTTTAATTGAAAATTTGAAATTTAAGATGTTGATGTGTTTTTAAGTAATTAAATTTACTTAGTGTCAATTACATATTGCTAGTTCAGTTAAGATTTTTCGCTTGGATTTTCTTTTTATAATCATATTGCTGTTCACATTAGAAGTCAATGCTAGTGAAAATTATAACTTTCACCAGCAATGGTCAATATATTTGAACATTCCCTGCCATTATAAAGATAGAGTATTGTTAACCGCTGTTAGACTCATGCTCTCCAGATCTGCAAAGACCCTAGTTTGATGAATTCTGATTTCCTGTGAGTGCATTGCTTCTTTGTGTGGCCATTTCTGTTGACGCTTGTTTAGCATAGTGCAGGTATGCATGTGTTTCTCTCATATTTATCTTCATTAGTCAAATGTTTTCACCAGAAAATAGCCTCAGAAACCCATAAACATTTACTAAAAAGTTAACTGGTTGATATAACAAGTTTGGAGCTATAGATCACTTTAGATATCCCTATTTTACTGACTTTTACCAGTAGAATTAAGAAAAAAAGTTTAGCCTAAAAATCATAGACAAAAGGGTTTTTGCAAATCTGTTAGATCCAAGAGTAGCACTGAACTACACCCCCAATCTAGTGTCATCTCTAGCTTGGGGAAATCACATAGGTGTTATAGTTTCATTTGGACCATTGTGCTTTCCTGGTTCTCTTGAATGTTTTGAATGAAATCTTTCAGTTCCGTGTATTTTTATGTGAGGGTAAATATACAGTCTATAAAGGTGTATGTACACACATATACTAAATTAACTTGAGGGTTTTTTTTTAATTATTTTTATGTGATAGCTATGTTGCCTGCATGTACGTCTGTGCATGATATGTATACAGTATGTGGAGGTCAGAAGGTGTCAGATCCTTCAGAATTGGACTTAAAACAATTGTGAGCCACCATTTGGGTTTTGGGAATCGAACATAGGTTCCCTGAAAGAGCAGCCAGTGCTCCTAACCACTGAGACATGTCTTCAGCCCATGTTTGGTTTGGTTGTTTTGTTTTGTTTATATGAACATGATATATCTTGATTTTCTTGCTTTAGCAGCATAACTTCCTAAGTTGATTAACAAATATAATATTGAATTATAAAATTTATTGTACGTTAAAATAGCATCCTTGATCTTTATACTAGAATTTCTGTTTGCTCACAGAACAGTTACTTGAGTTCATGCACCAGCTGCCTGCCTTTGCAAACATGACCATGTCTGTAAGAAGAGAGCTCTGCTCTGTCATGATTTTTGAAGTAGTGGAGCAGGCTGGAGCTGTTATTCTTGAAGATGGACAAGAGGTAGGACAGCAATTTAAGTGCTACATTTGAATTTAAATTATTGTGAGTGAATACTGAGTCAGGGCAATTAATTTTTAAAGAGATAAAAATGTTTTGGTTTTTTTTTTTCTCTACTCTTTTTTTTTTTAATTGTTGGTTTTCTAGTGATGGACTTTATGCAAGATAGGTATTTAGTCAATAATTGGATTTTTAATATTAAAAATTAAGATTCTTTTAAAGAATTCTTTATTGTCAGTTTGTGTATATATATTGGTGTTATCGAGATTCAGTCCCCTGTCCATTGTCTGTGAATTGAAAGGAGAAGCAGTGTGTTGGTGCTGATGCTTACCTCCCAGTGGGTGTGACAAGACTGTAGTGTGGTGGTTCTCAAGCTTCCTGATGCTGGGAGCCTTTACTGCACACAGCTCCTCGTGTTGTGCTGACTCCCAACCATAAAGCTGCTGCTTCATAACAGCAGTTTTGCTACTGTGATGATTTGTAATATAAATATCTGTGTTTTCTGATGGTCTTAGGTGACCTCTGTAAAAGGGCCATAACCCACAGATTGAGAACCACTGCTGTGGTGGGACTGGAAAACCCTACTGTAAGATTGAGGCTAAAAAGTGAATTACCAACGGTAGTTGTGTACTACTAGTAAATTGTTTCAACATTTCTGTAAATTAATTCAGAAATATTTGTATTCACAGTCTCTAAACTTGTTCTACTTTCTGTTTTCTCTCTTTAGAACATAATAATAATAATAAAAAAGCTCAGGAGTTATCAAAAGATGCTTTCTATTTGTAATAGAAAGAACTGAGTATGCCAAACTATGGGTTACAAACAAGCAATACCTAGTCAAATGAATATATAACCATGAAATAAAAGGTTCTTTGTGATGCTGGATATCAAACCTAGCATACAGGACCAAGTGATGTCCCGCTCAGCTGTGTACTCCACACCCTCACATTCTTTTTAAATTGCTAGAAATTCTTTCAAAGATCTTTCTCCAGCTTTATTTGCATGTTTCGTTTGTACACCTAATAAGATACACATCCCTAGGAAGTTGGAGTATTGTGGGTTTGGTTTGGTTTGTCTTTTAAAAAGACAAGATAGGCACTGGAGAGATTTGCCACCAAGTGTAAAGACCTGAGTTCAGTTCCCAAAACCTGGATATGATTGCATGCACCTTCAAACCCAGCACTGAGGAGGTGGAGACCTGAAAATCCCTGAGGCTCATTGGCCAACCAGCCCAGCCTGCTTGGCAAGCCATAGGCCAGAGACCCTTTCTAAAAAAAATTAAGTATATGGTATATGCAGAAAGACAGCCAAGGTTGTCCTCTGGCCCCCAAATATTTTCACACATGCTTACACACATGCATGCCTACGCACATACATACACAAACAAAAATAAACCTCAGGTGAGGTTGACCTCTAGTCTTCACATGTACACACACACACACACACACACACACACACACACACACACTCAAAAGCAAAATAATCTAAGTATATTCAACAGCTTAAAATAATGTATGTGCAAACAAATAAAAGCTCTTTAGACAGTAGGATTTTAAGCAGCTTTTCTTTTCCATAAGTTTTTATGTTCTCTAACTCTCTACAGTTATTTTAGCAAATAAGTTTTTTCTGGTTGGACAGGATGCATATCTTCAGTCCGAGGGAGGCAGGCAGATAGATCACTATGTGTTTGAAGGCAGTCTGGTCTATATAGCAAGTTCCAGGACAGCCATGACGGAGTAGAGTTGTCTCAAAAATAGATAGGTAGGTGGGTAGGTAGGTAGGTAGGTAGGTAGGTAGGTAGGTAGATAGATAAAAGTTTTGGCTGTCAGCTTCCTACTGTGTGATACTTCTGTAGATATAGGAATATGGTGGTTGGGGGAAAAAAACAGTCTCATTTTTAATAGTTCAAACAATCTATAAATCCTACCATGAGTGTTTTTGTAGTTCAGTAACAAAAAAATAGACTTTCTAAAAAGGTCTTTTTGTCACCTAGTTATTACTCAGATTTGCATTGAAATTGTTGAAAGTTTAGGCTAATGAGGAGGGATGGCTATTAAAGAACAAATGTTCTTTCACTGATATACAGCAGACCTTTAAAATACAACTCTGGTCTGGAGAGATTGCTCAGTGGTTGAGAGCATTTAGTGCTCTTGCAAAATACCCAGGTTCGATTCCCTTCAGTTACATGGTGGCTCACAACCATCTATAACCTTAGTTCCAGGAATCCAACAGTCATGCACATGGTTACATATACATCCATATAGCCAAAACATTAATACACAGAAACTAAAGTCTTTAAAATTAAAAGTGTGTGTGTATGTGTGTGATCTCCCAGGCCAGCAATATGGTTCCGTGGGTAAAGCTCCTTGCCATCAAGCCTGACCTGTCTTCCATCCCTGGTACCCACATGGTAGAAAGAGGGAACCAATTCCCACTATTTGTTTTCTAGCCTCCTCACAAACATTGTGGCACACATGTGTGAGCACACACACACACACCAAAAATAAATTAAAATATTATAAAAATGTATCTCCCTCATGTTAAATGATTTCATATAAGTGAAGAATTGTTTTTAATATTAGCACAAATTTGTAATATTTTTTGATGTTCCTTAAAATTCAGGCTTTTGCTAGTTTTTATCATTAGAATGATTGTGTGTTGAACACTGTATTAAGCATTTTGTCTTAATTTGGCATTAATTTGCCCATATTCTTCAGGAATTCTATATTACTTTTTTTTTTTTTACAGCTGTTTTAGCAATAAACTGAGGCCTAGTGACATTATATAACTTGATGAAAGCCACTGTGCTGCCCATGATAGGATCTAGATCTAAGAATTTGTGCTTCTAATAGACGGCTTAGCATTTGAGAGGGCAAGGTGTTCCTCAAAGGGACAGAAGATAGCTCACAATTGTCTGTAAGTCCAGTTTCAGAGGTTATGAAGCCCTTATCTGGCCCCCTGAGACACACATGTTGTGTACATAAATACATACAGGTAAATACTCAAGCACATAAAATAAATTGTCCTTACAATATTGGCCAGTTATGAAATTCCTTTGTTGACTAAAGGAAGAAAGTGAAAGAAACCAGCTGTTTTGTATAGTCAAAGCATAGGGTGTTGACCAACTACTAGATAATAGAGCTAGTTCTCCTCTCTCTCTCTCTCTCTCTCTCTCTCTCTCTCTCTTTAAGAAAGGGTTTCTCTGTGTTTCCTTGGCTATCCCGGACTCGCTTTGTAGACCACACTGGCCTCGAACTCACAGAAATCCTCCTGCCTCAGGCTCCCAAGTACTGTGATTACAGGCATGTACCACAGTGCCTTGCTCTTTTTCTTTTTTAAGTGATGCATTATCTGTATTTTTCTAAATTGTTATTCAAAGTGAACTTAATCACTGTCCTTTTTAAGAATCTAACACCTTTATTTTTCTCTATAGCTTGACTCATGGTATGTCATTTTAAATGGCACTGTAGAAATTAGCCATCCAGATGGGAAAGTTGAAAATCTATTCATGGGAAATAGTTTTGGAATTGTTCCTACTCTGGATAAGCAGTACATGCATGGAGTTGTCAGGACCAAAGTTGATGATTGTCAGGTAAGCTGACCGCTGCCCAATGTTCTCTCTTCCTTTGAGACTGGAAATGGCTGAGTTATACTCTTTCTTCCTCAAATTAAAACAGCTGTCGTTGAGAACTAGGATTTTCAATAGCCTCGGTTGACAAGAAAAAGTAGATTTTATATCTCTCTAATTTTGTTGAATTAAGCAAAGTATAAATTTTTAAGAAAATGTTCCAAATAAATGTTGCTTTATTTGAACATTCAAAGTCTTATTATCCAGTTCAGGCACTTTCTGTTTTCAAATAAGGAAGGAAATAGGAACTTGTGAGTTGTTTGTTTCTGACTTACTCCTGCTTCATGATTTCTTTGCATAGTGTCTGTTTGAGAGAAGTAGATGTTCACTTCTCCTTTTAGAGCAGAATTCAGATGATTGCACTGTGGTCTCTCTTTGTGTGAATTATTTACCTTGATTTTTGTTCAGGGTTAAACAAATTGAATGAGACAGAACCGATGCCACTTGATATCTTACATTTGTGCTGTGCCTTGGTGCATAGTGATGTGTTTATGTACTATAGGTTCATTAACTGTCCCCATGTTGTTCTTGGGCAGTTTGTCTGCATAGCCCAACAGGATTATTGGAGAATTTTAAATCATGTGGAAAAAAATACCCATAAGGTTGAGGAAGAGGGAGAAATTGTCATGGTACATGAGCACCGTGAACTAGACCGGAGTGGAACCAGGAAAGGACACATAGTAATCAAGGTGGGTGTTTTTACTTCTTATTCTAGAAACTTCATTTAGATCTTTCCTCTTGCTTTAAAAAATAAACAGGCTTTAAAGCACTTTTTTGAGTAATGTAAAATTCTTCACTAGCATGTTGACATCTAATTCAGTTAATGTGTTGGTTCTTCCATCCCTTTTCTTAGCTAGTTCTTCCAAATTTGAATGATGAAGGATAATATTGCTGTTTAATATTAAGCATTTTATCTAAATTGATATAATGTTATTTTAGATTATACTGGCCAAATCTTTTCTTCTTGTATATATAAGCCCTTGATAGTGGGTGTTGGTCTTTGAAACAAGCAGTGTTAGCGGCGAGACAGGAACAGGAAATTTTAAAGACTAGCCACAGACACATAGAGTCCACAATGAAGATGCGGAGCTCCTTTTAGCTTGCAGTCGGCTTTGGCCTCTCTGAACCTTATTTTAAATTAAAAACAGAAGAGATATGGGAAGTAAGGTTATGACTGAGTGTAAATCAGAAACTTTAGCATAATTACAGTTAAAGCAGCAATCTTACTCTACATCTTACTCTTCTGTGTTCTTTGTAATTTTTCTCTTTGAAAACCTCTAGATACAAAGTAGAGCAAGTATAGTTGAAAATTAAATACGTGTTTCTTTTTTTAAACTATTCTTGTTTGAAAAAATATGTCATTAATTGGCAAATAGACAACTTAGTCGCATATCTGCTATATCGGTTCTTTCTTGGGAATCGAATTCTTAGAGCTGTCTCTTAGTATAAGCTTTATGCGTAAAAAGGTTGACAGGGTGTGGGATTGCACACCTGTAATCATTCCAACACTGGAAAAGGTATAGGAAAGAGGAGATGGCGTTTAAGACTAGCTTCAGCTATATATAAAGCAAATTCAAGGCATACTCAGCTATATGAAACTGTGTTTCAAAAAAAATGGAAGGAAGGAAAACATAAATAAAATACACATCATCGTTGTGTCGTTGGCAAAGACCCCTAGTTTTTAATAGTTTCATACTTAAAAGTTATAACAACTAGGGAGGTAGCTCATTTTATTAAAGGGTTTGTCACACAAATGCAAATATAAAGATCTGAGTCTGTTCCCCAGAAATCATGTAAAAATCTGGGTACTGTGGTGTGCACTTGTAATTGAAGCAGTGGGGAACCAGAGACAGGAGGGTCCCATTATCTCAGTGGCCACCCAGCCTAGCCTAATTGGTGAGCTCTGGATTTAGTGAAAGACCTGGTCTCAAAATATGATAGAGAACAGTTGAGGATGATATGTACAATTGACCTTTAGCCTGCACATAGCCATGTGCACATTTCAAGAACAATGCTCTGTCAGTCAGATTCCCCCACTTATATTTATTCCATTTGCCCGGTTTTCATCAGAATTCTTTTCAACTGAGACATTTTATAAATGCAGTGTCTCAACATTACTAAAAGCAAGAACACTCCTGCATAAACATCATAGAGTTTTCCAAGAATGGAAATGTACATTGCTGAGGTAATATAGTCAATCTGAAGTCCCCAGTGAATTCTCATCAATGTTCCCAGTAATGTTGTAGTTGTATTTCATTGTCATGCCACTTTGGTCCACTTCAGTTGCTTGATCTTTCTTTTGTTGTTCCCCAGCAGACTTAAAGAATGCACATCTTATATCCTGCCACATTTACTCATGACCAAACTACAGTCAGTTTTCAGTAAGGAGTTTCACTATAATTAACACTCTTTGTGCATTTGGTGCAGTGTTGGCACACCTTCGTCTAGGGAATCTAACCTTGACCTCATGTCCAGATGCCAGGACTTTTTTAATGTAAGATCACCATTTGTGACACTTCATAATTGATGAGGGGAAGAGATGTTCTGAGATGATCATCAGGGTACTGCCTCCAATTTTTGGATAGTAACAGTAAGGTGCAAACCTCTTCCCACCTGTTTTCATTATTTTTGATGACTCCTGCTGAAAGTGGTGTTTTCCTGATTTCTCTTATAAAACCTAATTGTCATTCTTTAATTTATGCTTGGTATGGTCATACTTTCTTACCATCAGTATGTTTCTAATGCTCAGGTATTTTCTGAGATATAACCAGTGAAATGATGCACAGGCAGACACTTTTATTTTTTTTTGAAGTGCCCTCATTAGTCTTGGAACACTTTCTGATTTTCTGCAATCAGTAAGATTATCATGAACTTCCCTTTTTTTTTTTT